CTTCCTTCCTTCCTTCCTTCCTTCCTTCCTTCCTTCCTTCCTTCCTTCCTTCCTTCCTTCCTTCCTTCCTTCCTTCCTTCCTTCCTTATCTGAAGAATCATCTACCACATTCTGGCTTGAAACATGCATATGGAAACATATGCACACAGACACACAGACACACTCTTACACACACACTGAATGGGTTTCTTTTAATTAAAATTTAATGTGTTTTTCAATGCAACCTCTTAGGGCATACATTTAAAATAAATATTCAGAACAGCAACAAATACATTCTTACTCCAGCCATGTGTTTTGGGTATCAGAACTCAACAGAACTTTCTGATCTATCCCCAAATGTTCTTCTCTTCAGGTGCAAAATTGCAGCAAAGGAGAAAGGAAGGCACTGTTTCATAATGTTAAGCCATTGTGAGTTGGAAACTTCTGCTAGTTTTCTACAAACATCCAGAGATTCTCTTTTAAGTGCAGATGTACTTTCAGCCCACCATTCCTTGCTAAAGGCCTAATTTTTTCTAGAGATGCTCATCCTTTCAGATCCCCTGATTTTTACTATACTTGATTTTCAATAGTTTTCTTGCACATTAAAACTGAAAGGCGTGTGTCAACAACTCACTCTTGGGATTATTACATTATTTCAAACATGGCCTTAGAAAGTTTTATAGTTTGGCTTTAGGTGACCACAACATTTCAAAACAGGGAAAATAAAATGATCGGTAAATCCAGATCTCAAGAACTTTCAGGTTTAAAATAAGCCTTGGCAAAGGCCAGGTCATCAAGAACTCTACGCAATGCTCTAAAATATTTAGTTTTAAAATAAGCAACTGTTTCCATTATTTGAAGTAATTCCCACCCCTTTTCAACATAGGAGATAAAGAGGAAGAAAGATGTTTCACCTGATCTAATATAGAAGAAGCATAACCACAGGTGATAATGGAACTTTGGGGAATCTATCTTCCAAAATGTTGATTAGAACAATTGAAATCTTGTAAGATCTTGCATCTCTTCCTCAAGGAAATAATGCTCTACATTTGGGGCAGGTATAACAGGATTAGCCTAATAATCCCCATAAGTTACACAAAACTATTTTGCGAAGATTGAGATGCTATTCAGTTTTTAAACATCTTTTGGACTCTGGAAATCATCATCTTTCAGAGTGATTGATCTTTTTTCAAATCTCTACAGATAGTCCCAGCAATTATCAGCATGTGCTGCAGTCTAGAGCTTGCAAAGAATACCAACAAATTAGAACGATCCTCATGCATTCAGGCTGGTCACCAGCTGAGTATTCCTTCCCCAAATAATAAATTAACAAAAAAATTATTCATGCCCTTTTAAAAAAATAAAATATATTTTGAGTATCCCCCTTCTATATGTTCAACCATTATTTCTCGATATTTTTACAACTGCCTGGTAATTGTGCATAAAAATCTCTTCTGAGAGTCATCTAGGAGGGGCTATAAAATAATGTAAATGAATGCGTTTATGAGTCTCATAAAGTCTTTTTAAGTGGCTATGGAGTTACACTGCCGTTCTTTATTGCTTATGGGCTGTCCAGTCAGTATAGCCAGCAGAAGTGCAACTTTATGAGACAATACAACAAATATCATTGCGTTTGTAAACTTGTCTTTCAGATTATCTGTGATTATGGTGACATGTTCTTACACTGATGGTGGTGATGATCATCTCTAGCATTGATAACACAAATCCCAGGACTTTGGAAGTTGATAGCAGTGGTGTATCCCCCCGGATGTGAATGAAAATGGAACCATTAAACTGATTGAAGATAGCAGCAGTGATGTGGGGAATAGCAAGAATTCACTCCAATAGAAAATGGACTGGCCCCATTGGCTGTGAAACCATAAGTGAACTTTCCCCCAAGAAATAACAGGTGGGGGAACAGGAGTCATAGAAGTTTTAAAAAATGGGGAAGCTGTGGCATTTTGACAAATGCTACTAGGTCTGGTGTTTTCCTGGTAGATTAAAAAGAATATTAGGAAAGTTACACTAAATGCATCATTTTTTTCTTGTCTTCCAAACTTTAAAGACCCATTCTGGTTAGAAAGGCAGTGACCATCGAGATAATTTTGCAGGATTTAAATTGTGAATCTCAACCTCAGATGCCCTTTAAAAATTTAAATCATTTCCAGGGCGTGACCTTCTTGAAGTTAGTGAAGCCATAGAGTTTTGGGATATGATTGTTCAACATCTTTTAAATAGTAGTAACAACAACAGCAACAATAATCCTGGATTTCATACTCTCTCCCCTATCATATCATGTCAGAAGGAAATGAAACGTTGAAGGGAGTGGCACTAATAACTACCTTCTTTGGTGATCATCACAAAGTGGTTGTAAAGGATCTGTCTATATAAGTCGGTTGTCCTTCAGTGTTCCCATATGCACAACTCTTTGAAAAGATACTTATCCATTTAGTGGAAATATCTGAAAATGATTATATATATCCTTGTAGTCCTGTCTTCAATAAAGCAAGTGTTCAAATGTTGGCACAGTTGAACAAACATAATTACCCAAATGGGCCTATTACAGAATTTTGCCCTGAATACAGTGAAATATTTTTCAAGGGAAGTTCCAGGCAGGACTTCCATGTTCTACATCTCCATTAAGTCCTATGTTACGCCTGCAAATGGATTTTATCTCAAGGCTTCATAAGCAGTTGCCGTGGACATGACCCATCCATTCTCTACAGTTTCCTACAGATTGTTGGCTGAAACCACTATATGTCCAATTTATTTCTCCCTTTGACTTCCCATTTTTCAAGTCAAAAAACTGTGTTCTTTCTCCTAATTGGTAGTGTTAGGCATGTTTGGAGAGATATCTATCCCAATGATTCAAGGAGATTTACTGCACTAATGACTGTGGTCAAGCTAAAGTGCCATAGTGAAATTCTAAAAATAAAATGAACCCATAATAAATAAACAGAGAGATAAAGAATAAGGACACATTAAAACCTTATGAGAAAAACTAGCCCACCAACCAAGATATGGTGCAACACTAATACTTTAATTGAAGATCATCAAAGGACTAGACATTCGTCTTCATGGAAGAGGGGCTTAAGATGGGGTGCTGCATCTGAAAAAGAGAATATTTTCCTGAAGTAGAGAGAGTGTCAAGGTTGAGAGGTAGATCATGCAATTGAGAGTTGTCCTCCCTGCATTAAAATAATTCCATTCTTTGTTGGAACTTCTAGCCATCGAGAACATTGAGTATGCACATGCTATTTATGAAGGTATCACCTTTTTTGCCATTGTGCTGGGTCATTGGCTCCTAAAATGCTGGATTTAAGCAAGGCATTGTTAACTTTTGCAGTCAAAGTTTTGTTATATCTCCAGAATATTGAGTCTTGAACCAAAGCATTCTCAGGCAAATCTTTATGTTCAGGGGTCCTGCAATGGAAGTTAATGGCAAGTTGACTAGAAACCTGGATGGAAGTTTCTCCATGCATCTTGAGAACAGAATGGACTGAAGTCTGAATTACTTTTCTTGGGTCAACAATCATTTTCCTGTTATTGAAACCTTCAGTTCTATTTGGTTCCTTGTGGATGTGTTCAAACATGTTGACTCCTGGTACCATGCTCCACAATGAGAAGTTGAAGGGAGTCCTGGAAAACACATTGTTACGGAATACTTGGTTTTCAAACAGAAAAACCCCAGCTCTTGGATTTCCCTTTTCCATTCTTTGCATTAGGGATTTCCAGTCTGCATCCTTAATGGGGAGAATCACTTCATCAGCATCAATGAGCACTACGTATTTGCTTCTGTACATGTTACGGTAAATGCAGTCTTTCAAGGCTGCAATTTGCCCATAGTAGCCAATATCTTTGCCACCCATCGAGTGATGCCAGTAAGATGAAACTTTCAGGTACAAATGGATCGGCCAAGGAATGATTTCAACAGTGCCTTCAGAGATATAATAGTCCAAGACTTTCTCCATGAGTGGGCTGCAACTGTTCTTATAAATCGTCACCTTTTGCGCTCCTAGGATTTTATACAT